TTTACTGTTTATTCGGTGAAACATCTCTGGCTTTGCATGTACATATAACCAAAACAAATGATAAATCAACCTTATCTGCAGCCATGACCAGGAGTGCATTGTTATACAACAACGAAACAGTTGTTTCGTTTTGAATTAGTTTATTATTACCATGACTAATTCCATTGCTTTCGCTTCAAAACTTGTCTTATGTCTATTTTTTTCTTTCTTTTTCCTTTAGGTATTACTATTTATGTTTTGTATTTTAACAAAAAGTAACAATTGTAGTAAATGTTATATTTTTATACTTTAATTTGCGGAAATAAGGAAAGTGAAATTTAAATGCAATTACAGTTTTGTAATCGATTTCTTCGAAAAAAAAAGTCAATATAAAAAATTGTATGACACACATTCGTGACGTCAATGGAACGAGAAATTTCATCATTTCAATCGTGGTATAATGGATATGTCGATGTTAAATGGAACAACGTAAAGCAAGACACGATTCATCCGATGTGAAAACTAACACAATTGAATTGATTGTTCAAACAAAATATATTTTCTATACTATATAAAATCAACAACCAACTGTATATAAATATTATTTATAAAAAAAGACTTATAACAAAAACTTGTCTGTCAAATGTGTCTGCTGTCATCTTAAGACCCATTAAAATATTATGCGATCCATAGGTTGAGAACCGTTGGTCTACATCAGTGATTCCCAGGGGTCTATGGCAACCTGCAAGGAGTCTACGTAAGCGAAAAACAAATTTGGGGGTTTATGAAATGAAAATGGGGGTTCACGATAGTGGACCACAACATACACAGATAGTACCTATTTACTTACATTATACTATCTTATAATATAAAGACATATACATTATTTATAAAAGTACCTATGTACTAAAAAAAAATATTATATATATTTCTAAAATTGTGTAAGTTGTAGGGTGTAGGCATTCGCTTTGTGGTCGCAATACATTTTGAACATGTAAAAACCTGCACATAATGATATACCAGTATCATCTTGTCACAAGCATACGCGCAGTCCCGGAGTAAAGATCTTAATAATTATAAATATGTCCCAATATAAATAATAAATTTACAAAAAATCAATATTAAGTAAGTAGGGGATCTACTCAAAACCGAAAAACATGACAAGGGGTCTACGACACAAAAAAGTTTGGGAACCTCTGGTCTACATTATATTAAATTACTATACAATTTGTGTTAAATTTGTAATATGTTGCTTAACTTTTTGCTGCGCGGCCGTGTTGTTGTGCTGTGACTGTGATTGTTTATAATATATTTTTTGATGACATCTGTCACCTTGCGTCAAATGTGACAGCTGTCATTTCGCGACCCATTAAACATTTTATGCAACCTATAGTTACCGTTAGTCTATATTCTACTAAAGTACTATAAATTGGTAAGATTCCATCACTTATCAAAGAATTATCCTCCACGCAGATTGCTTAACTATCGTATCTTATCAAACTTATATTAATTCAAATTAAAAAATATGAATGATAAAATGTTTTAATTTAAAAAAGAATTAGCAAATTTGTCTAATTAAAACAAACGAATCAAAGTAATAGTAATTTTAAAATGAAACAAATGAATACTAATGACCGTCTTCAATCGAGGCATAATTACATTTGAAGCGTGCTTAATGAGTTTCAGTTATTTTGAAACTTTCGCCAATACCAGTTGATTTATATATATCGCAATTATTTTGCGGAAGTAATTCGAAATACTTAAGGATCGGGCCACCGGAACGCTTCCTTCTTCAACAAAAATTTAACACTGTTTCTCATTGTAAAATGCATTCTCTTCCTCGAATTTAACAAGACCACATGTTTCAATTCAATCTTCATGCTCGTTCTTCACACAGCGCTATGCGCGTTCTTCGCTAATTAGAGGAAATTGCGGCACTAACTCAAGATGATGATGATGATGATCATCGGGATGATGAACAAGTGCGTCGACTTATACGTTTCGTGTAATTTGTTATCGTTTACGAGCGCCTCTGTTAACTGGCTCCGATCTCCTACTGCTCCTTTTTTCTTTCTTTTGATTAACCTTGTGCAGACCAGAAGGAATTCAGAGACAAGCCGTGACTCATTCATCTCCGGCGACCAACGTGGAATTACAGAGCATCTATTATTCAGTCCTTCCACTACTTTCCTACTTTGCGTTAATCGAACTGCAAACAATTTCTACGCAAATCTGTCTCTGTTTGTCTCATCGATTAACAATTCTTAACACAATTTCAATGAAAAAAGAGAGTTTCATGTATTTTTCCAAAACAAATTTTAGGTATCTTTATACATTTTTAAATTTATATTTTATTGGATAATTACTTATCACAAATAGTTGAAGTATGAAAATGTTTACTCTTCGATAAGTTAGCTAGTTATTTCATATAATAGGAGTTACGATTACATACAGTAAGACCTCGTTTAACGCTGATTAGCTATAACATGGTTTTCTGAAAACCTTAAACATTTACCCGGATTTCAAATTAATCCCGAACACGTAGCCCTGTGCTTCCCCAGAATCGATGCTTGTTTAATATGTAGATGATATTAAGGAGTTATAATATCTTATCATTAGGTATAGTTTGTATATAAATCTGAATTATAAATTGGAAATTAATATGCTTTTGATCCTTGATTGAGTAAATTTAAGATCGCGCTTGAGATTAGGTATGTAATCTTTTCCCGGTGGATAGTTACCATTATGATGATTTTTTATTTTTTTTATTTGTTGTCGTCTTGTAGGTTAACTTCGGCAGTATATTAATGCTCTGCGATTCCACTATTTCCTTTCACTGTGAATCTGCTGCTATCCTTAACACTGTAATTGTCCATCGACTTGGCTGAAGGGTGAAGGTCCATATGCTGAATCTCATTCATTTCATTGTCCATCTGTGATGAACGATGGCCCTATTTCTGCAAGCACCGAGAGAGCTCACAAAAGGCCTGGGTTGACCAGTATTTGAACTTACGCCCACTAGCTCGTGGGTAGGGCGACTTATCCATTCGGCTATTAGTCGCCCGGGACATACGTAAATGGAACAAATTTTCCATAGCATCATTTCCCTTTTTTTGCATCGCGCAATTTACTAAATAATAAGTGGAATTAATAAATACACGGAATTGCACTGGAAGTTTCACTTTTGCCGCAGCACAAATTAATTATTCCATAACGGAATCGCTCGGATAATTTCTATAGCAGCAAAGAAAAAGGAACCGCTTTTTTTACTTTCCCAGGTATTTGGACCACCTAGCTTTACGATGCATCCATAGCTATTATGTAAGACGTTGAGATTTTTTCTTAAATATAGGTTTATCTTCGAACACTTATAATGATATTATTGCGTGCTGTTGCGTAAAATAATGAGGTCAAATTATAATCTAGTATTTTAATTTAAGATTATTTTAGTTACATTTTTGTTATTGTGTTGGACCCGCACTATGATCGAGACAGTACAATCGCTTCGGGTACAAAAATTTAAAACCAAATATATCTCGGTTTCCAAAAACAATTTCGGTATCCGAACAGATAAATTATATACGTACCAATTAAAAATAATTGTGTATAATACAATTTCAACTACTAGTGCAGTGTCATACTATTTTCCAATGAATCATATCTATATATGAAAAAAGTGGTTAGGTATTTCTAGTTATTTGCATTTATTTATAACAACATTAGTTTCGTATAATATAATTAACTATATCAATTTGATACACAGTACGCGTGTCAATATGATCTTAATAATTTACATTATTTTTTAAATAAATAGGTTAGGTTACTGATGAATTTTCCGTCTTCACAAACAAGTCTTTGTCCATTCAACAACTTATGTCACTAAGTACCTTTCACTGTTTTTTTTAGATGATTATAAACTATTTATGTTTTGTACACTTTTTGTGAGATCTATTGTAGTTTAATTAAATCATAGTACCTCCCTAATCGCTTTTGAGCTACTGCAAGTGATGTTTAGATTTAAAAAAAGATTTATTTGCGTGTATGTGTTTGTGAGTTTTTCTCTAATATATACTTTTATTTTTTCTTTAATTAACGCAAAACTAGAGCTTGTTATCTGTTTTTCTTTACTTTGCTCTGTAGATAGATTGCTTCATAAAATAATAAAAAATATGCAGTTTTAAGATAATCCACTTAATCTGAATGAAAATAATGTAATTTATTACATTTTTTTCTAATTTTCCCAAAAAACAAACAATAAACATTATTATAGTAGATATATTATTAAACAATAAAATTTAAAAAAGCACATACTTTTAGATAAAAACAAAAATCCTTTCCTATTTTCCTATTAATGACAAAATCTAAATTAATTATAAACTAGCAATAACAAACTCTCGAAATGGATAATTATAAATGAAAAAAAAAATGCTTTTGGTATATGTTGTTAATGGAAATGCATTCTATAATAATAGTTTACAATAGTTTCATTAACGTATAATTACTTCTATTCACATTGTTTAAATTTCATTTTAAGAAATTTCTATGAGAAAAATAACAACTTAAGAAGAAATGTAATTTCATTAAACAAATTTCCATTTTGTGAAAGAACGATGGCGAACGATTCGTGAAGACAGGAACTACCTGTAATTTAAGACCTTGTACAATGTATTACTGAGGAATGCAGATGCTCAACACATTAGGAAGGTCGGTATTAAGTTTTCAACTATATCATTTATTGTGACAAAGAAAATAAATAATAAAAACAAACTTTCAGAGAATGTAACATCTATATATATCCCAAGAGCAAATTGAATTACAAATAAAATGATAGGTAATTGAATATAAGAATTAGTGTTTAATTAATGACAATAAAAATATTTATTTTAACAGTCTCATATAAACAAATGCAAAAATTCAAAAATATTTTATCTCAGCTTATTTTTTTTCTAGGATAATCAAGGTTAAATTAATTTATCTGAAAATTGTTCCTATAGAATTTACAAAATTTTTGTAATACTTACATAATGGATTAATTTATTTGACTAAGGGTAAGCAATGCAACATCAATAAGAATCTGAAAAAAAATCTTCATTATTTATTTTGTAAACAATGTACATATTTTTAGTAAACTTTTTTTTTAATATAAAGAATATTGGTATTTTTGCATGTTATTATAAAAAATACCTTTATTGGCATATCTAGGAACAAAGTTGGTAAATAAATAAATATTATAAATATGTTTTTTTTTCTTTTAAAAGTGATAAATATTTTATATTAACAAAAATGAATTTAGGCGAGAGTTTTTTACGCGTACATTAGGACACAATTTACGCGGTATTTACTTACATAGCCAAACTCACTATTACAATTGCATAAAATAATGCATATACTTATTTTAAATCAATTATATATTTTCCATAAAAAAAGGGGCTATATGGGGGATGTGGCATTCTTTCCCAATGATTTTCCAAAGTTACCAAAGATGTGTGAGAATTTGCATTCTTTTGGTGAAACGAATTGCCAATTCTTTGATTTCTTTCTCCAGTTTGAAGTTTTTGACAGTAGACATATGAATTGCTAGTTTGGTTCCGTGGATGTAGCTTAAAATACACAACACCTTTGTAATCTTAAGAAATTGATAGCAAGATCTTTTTTGATGAAATTCATCTTTCAATGTGATTTATGCTGGTTCATCACGCTTGGATCATGATCTTTTTCGATTTATGTTATTGTAAATGATCCAGTTTTCATCACCAATAATGATTCATTATTAACGAGTCCAAGAGCTTTAAGTGATTTTTAGATGTTGTGTGTGATATAATTATCATCTCTGTAATCTCTTGCCAAGTTACAAAGATCCGATACAATTATTACATTCATTACAGTAGATCAACCCGAACGTTTGTTATCTTCGAGTGAAAAAACTGCAAGACGGATTTTTTTAAACCAATTCTGATACGTGCAACAAAAATTATAAACTTCTCTTTGTGAGCCTGAGCAGCATTATTACATTTACGGAAATATTGTTTTCTCAAAAAATGATTTTATTCTTTTTATGTCTAATTTATATTATTAGGAATTATACCATACTTTTATATAAACAATGTTATTGTGAATAAAACAAAATATAAAATAATAATAATTTTAATTGTTGGTTAGCAATAATTAGGTTACGTATAACTAGGTTATGATAGATAATATGGTTAACTAGGTTTACAAAACGATAAATTCTGTAGGTTTTGTCAAGTTAGATATTTTGTTTTGATAACTTGTAAAAAAGCAATATAAAATATTCTCTATTTATACTTCAATTCTCAAACTATTATCATTTACTGATTATTTCACGTTATTTTTATTTTTGTTCTATTGTAAATAATAACATTAAATCAATTAATTACAAATACTTGTTTTCTCATTATTTTCCATAATAAATTGAACTTAAAATATTTTATAGAAACATTTTACTGAAAATCTTTAAAATCAAATCTTATCCTGGAATATATTATGTTCGAAGTTCGAAAGTTCACTGTACAGTAAAACCTCGATTAACGCTGATTTGCTATAACCTTAAAAGAGCTCAAAATTTACCCGGATTAAAATTATTGCGACATTTCATTGATTCGTATATAATACGATTATTACCGAACACAGTACTTGCCCAGAATCTATGATTGTTTGAGATGTAGATGAATAGGGTATTAAGGAGTTACTGCAGGTATCTGATGAGGGCCTTACTAACAACGAACTGGCAGAACCAGGAATTCAAGAACACGAAAATAGTGATTCTGAAGACGATGAACCAGAAGAACTTGCAACAAATTTTCTTAGAAAAAGTTTAGAAACGATAACTGAAAGTTTTGAACAAATTGTAGCAAATAATTCAAATTTTGACAGGAATGTAAAAGCAAGAAGAGGAGTTTTGAGTGCGATCGCCTGCTACTTGATGAAAAAAAAAAGAAAGCAATAAATGACTAGACGATTTTATCGCCAAAAAATATAAAATATCAGAAGAACCAGAATCTTAACTTAATATTTCTGTGGGTAAATGTTTGTGTTATATAATACATATATTATAATGTAAGTTACTATAAATACAACTTAAAATTAAAGTAAAATTTGTTTATTTTAGGTCGCGTCTTCCCATTTCCATATTTGCTATGTGTTCTATGTTCAAAAACGCATCTAAAGCGCTAAACGAGGTCTCACTGTATATGATTTATAAGTATAATTCAAGGTTATATGATACAACATCAATTGCCGCTTCTTCGGTTCAACACTGGTTATTAGTAATTACGCAACCGCGGCATTCCTTAGTGCTTTATCGAAAGATTCTTCTACTAGATACAAATACTAACAGCGTTCACGTGTGGCCGAGAGTGTAATATAAAAAATAAAATAAAGAAACCGGTCACAGGTAAAAGCTCATAAGTTACAATTATAAGAGATATTTTTTGGGTGCGGGCCTGTGCCGGTCCGAACAGGTCGGCCTTCGCCAAATGAAACGACTTGAAAACAGTACAGAAACAGAATTTTCCTCGTCCATCGCACAACTCTGTTTCGCTTAACGTCGCCTGATAAGGCAGATGAGATGTGTATGTTTTGTAAGCAAATTGACCGCATTTCGCCTGCACATACATAGCCAAGATGCACGACTGAAAAGATGCTGCCGCCGTTTGTGTGTATGTGTGTGTATGTTAGTGAACCGGATTTCTCTTTGAAAATTATTATCTCCTCTCTCATTCCGGACACGCTTCAATAATTCTCCGAATGCCAGAAGCGCATGCAAATTAATTTCGTGGAGAAAGAGAAAAATGGAAGGAAGAGATGATGCGTTATTATTGTTCCGTATGTCGAAAAAAGAATACTTGGAAGAAAAAGAAAGTAAAAGCGACGACGGGGAGGAAGTCTCCTTTTGTTGTCTTGTCTCGTTCATTGTTTTTGTCGTTTAAAATTCAAATTCAAAAAACAAATATCATTTTTTTTATGCATTTTGTCGTCTGTCAAGACCAAACAACATATTTGTGATTTCTGTTATTCCTGGCGCACCTAATAATTGTACTTTATACAAATTGTGTTTATATTGTTATTTAACTTTATAAGTATTATTATCTTAACTATATCATTAATGATATCCATAACTTCCTGGTTATACATAACTTCCATGGCATCCATACCATCAATAATATCCATGACATCCATGATATCCATAACATTGTTGACATCCTTAACTTTCATGACACCAATGCCATTCATGATATCCATCACATGCATCACATTCATAACATCTACAACATCCACGATATCCATAACTTCCTTGACATTCATAATTTCCATGACATCAATCTATGGTATCCATGACTTCCATGACATCCTTAACTTTCATGACATTCATCACATGACATCTGTGACATTCATAATATCCATTCGTAATAAGAAAAAAGCTTTCTGTCGTTACTTCTGTGATCGCAGATATTAAAGGATTAGTAAATAAATAATATATAAATATAAAAAATGTAATATCTGTTTTGATTACCTACAATTGTAGATAAATTTAAAATATTAGAAATATTGTTTTGATAAATATTTAAAAAAATTGGAAAGTCGCAATAATCTGATACTTGTGTATTAAACGTTGGTGTGGTATGGGTGCCAGATGACTGCAATTTAAAAAGTACATTTATAAATCTGTCGAGTAGCATAAAGCATAAGTAAAGGTCATTAATACCATTTCATTAAAAATGCAAATGTTCGTTATTACTCGTTTATATTTTGTAAAGAAACGAACAAATATTAATTTAAATAATTAAAATAAATCACTTTGGTCGATAGCCAAATAATAAAATATAATGCGGTTAATCAGTTCTGCCAATATCCTGGACTGTTTGAAACCGGAACGGAAATTTTCAAACCTGACTATTGTAAATCCGGACTGATTGAAGCCACACTGTGCAAGGTATTACAGATATATTAATATTATTGTATGTTACAAGTAAAACGTATTTGCATTCATATTTATTTGAAAATAGAACTTGTTATTCTTTAATTTGTGGACTTTAATTTGTTGACAGTTTCATGGATAGATAAAACTATTAAGTAAATTTCAATGCAATCTTCTATAAAAGCACATTATTTTATATTTTTTTATAAGATTCTATTGAAACTCATTATACAACTGTGTTAGTAGTTTATTTTGAAAATATTCATAATAAAAATTTTGATAAGAAAAATATAGTTTTTAAAATGTGAAATGTGAAATATGAAACGCAATATTATTAAAGTTGTAAAACAATCATATATTTATTTATATGATTCACAGCTTCAAATTTCTTGTTTAATTTTATGACTTGTTTTTATCATTAATGAAAAAATGTTGATAACAGCTATATACGAGATAGTATCATGCTTGAGTCATTTTAGTTTGATTCACTCTTCATTTTTTAAGTAATCATTTTATCTGAAATAGGTTGGTTTCCAAATAACGACTTTTTACTTTTAATGATCATCTCAAGTTTCATTATAATGAAAATAAATTAACTAAATGATCTTAAAACTATATTCACTATAGTCCGGTTTGAAAATGTCACAACAAATTATTTTTTATCTCTTTGAGGCGCTAGAAATTCCTAAACTCTTATTTATCCATAACTGAATCAGACAACTTCGACATCCAAATTAACATTGGATAGTATGGACTATCAAGATTAGTAATTCCTCTTTCCCATACATTTTCTAGACAATTATAATACTACTAGGCATGTTCAAAAGTTGGGACATTGCGTGTACTGTCCCTCAAAAAGTTAATTGAGTAAAATGAATATCAATCCTAATAAAATACTACACAAAATTATTTGGTTTACAAGGACCTGATTCTGCTTTTATTATTAAGGAAAAGCTGATTACCCAGACTATGTGAGGTATTGTATTTATTTCGTATATTCTATAATAATATATGTGGAGGATATTGTCATCTAAAAAAACTTAAATAACTTTATATATTTTAAACTAAATTCAGTAAAATACATTTTGTGGTCTATTAAACAAATGTAATTTAAAGATTTGGTAATTTCATTAAAC